GCTGAGGNTCCTGACCAGAGCTGGAGATGTTGTGCTCTCCCCACTTGAGTCCAGCTGTTTGGACAATTCTTTCCATTGCTCTTCCCTCACCAGAAATTTAAAGGAAGACAAGTTGAAAAGATAATTGGGAACAGCAGGATTTCTTTATAAAATTATGCAGGGTGTGGAGAAATGGATCTAGAACCACAACTACAAGAAGAAACTGATCTGAAGTAGACCCAGGAGTGGCAAAAGGAGGTCATTCTTTACATAATGTATAATCAACGTACTGAATTCACAACCATGAGAAGTGGCAATATTCCCTAGCATTGAAAATCTGAAAGGGGATTCAATCTATTTATGGAGAATAGGTGATAAAAGACCCATTGTCCTGATAGCTAAATGGAACCCCCATATTCAAGGTTGCCAATCCAGAATTAACAGTACCCAGGATGAAAACAGCATAGCAAGTCTCTTCCCTTCATACTCTTGACTGTGGGCTTCCCAAAACACATGTGTTTGGCTGTTGTTGGAAACAGCTGGATTAAATGGATCTTTAGTCTATTACAACAGTACAATTCTTGTATTCCTACAGAACTCTTGGAATCAAAGACCATACACAAGGTATTACATGAATACTGGTTTTTTATTAGTTTGTCTGAGAATACTGTAGAAAGGACTCATAAAAATAATATTCACACTTTATCTTAGAAAGTTCTCCAGATGAAATATTTCTTTCTTATGTGTATACAACAAAACAAGAGCAAATCCAGGAATGAAAGGAGGGGGGGAAACAACACAATTCTATGTGAGACACAAAGATGTTTATGTAAAACTGATAAAGCTAACTGAGACCAACATTCATGCACACATTCTAAAAATTTGATTTCACAGATAATGGCAAACCCAAGCAATAGGATTTTTCACTACAGCTATGGATTAACCCATACATATGTCAGAAAATACAATTTGTGATAGCAATTCAGCTACTTTATTTTCTCAAAGAGCTTATTACTGTACATTAAAAATAGTTGGATTATTTTTGTTTGTCAATTTGACCCTTCTGAAATATGCAGCCTAAAGTGAAATAAAAACCCAGACCCCATCAGACAGTGAATTGATGTAAAATTGCCAGTTTAAGTTGGCAGGTGTTAACTTGTATAGTAAACAGAGCTATCTTGCATGGGTATTAGCTATGTCATGGAAGGCATTTGGTGGTACTAGTGGTCAGTCCTTCCCTTCCCCTAAGAGTTCCAGAAATGCTACATACACTTCTGAAAAGGGCTCATTCACTACTGTTCTTCTTTTGAGATTTTCCAGGCACCTATGCATGAATTGCCTGGATGGGCCTGCCCCGTTTTACCTTGCAGACCTCCCCCTCCAGCTCTGCAGACAGCATGCAATCTGCAGCCCTCTAACTGGGATCGCCTCACTGTGAGTGACATTTTGGCATCAGCAGCTTATTTTCAAATGCTCTCAGAGTGGACCACTGTGCAGTCAGAAGTTCTGCGTGTCTCCAATACTTCAGACGCTCTTTAGTACGTCACTTTCTCAGGACATGAATCTGAATGTCAGCGCTGTAAGGCTCAAACCAGGAGCACTACAGGCCAGGCACAGATCCCCTACTAATCCATCTGGTTTAATCCATACTAATCCATATACTGGTTGAGGAAGACGGCTGCAAGCAAAACACCATAAGAATTCTCCTAGCGCACAGAATCAGATAATGCCCAGAGTCCCAGTCCAATTCTGCTGCAAAACATTTCATACCCCTCAGCCTGTGCAAAGAGAGAGACCACCGGCTGGTCCCGCTGCACCTACAGACTGCCTGGTCACCTGCACCAGTACTTGGACCCATGGACTTGATGTGGAGTAGACCAGACTTCTTGCACCCACACTCTTGGAAGCAGTGGGCTCTACTGGGTGGGGAACATCTCTCTCCTCTTATGGCTTCTCTGCATAAGGCATTTATTGTGTGCCCCTCACTCGGAGAAGTTTGTGGGGCCTTCTCAACACAGCAATGTCCTCCGGGGACTCTTCCACATTTTCCAGTCTTCTTCACAGGTATTTTTTAGAGTGAGGAAAATAGGGTATTCAAATCGCAACAACCAGAACAAAATCCTAGGGAAAGGACAAAATCTCCTATATTGCAGCTATACCACACCACCACCTTGTGGTCGGTTACCCAAGTTCAAGGAAAGGCAGGTACAAACGACTGGGAAAAGCCCCACATAAAGGATGCATTTTCCCTCCACAGCCAAAAGGGAAAGAGCAGCCTCTGCACAGCAGCAGTTAATCCCCTCAAGCAGAGAAGCCCCTGGACAGTCCTATGCCTGGCCCTGGCCATGCACAGCCCTCAAACACAGGGCTCCACATGATCATCCATGAAAAGCCACTTGGTATGTTTGGGACAGGCACCCCATTTTCTTTACGACTTAAGGTCACTCTATACATTGCTTTAAATATTTGCTGGAATCCCGTTCTTGGGATTCCCCATTCCTTTTTCTTTGTGGAAGACAACTGTGCCTTGCTGGCCAGATCAGGATGCGGTAGTTTAACGCTCTGCTGCACAATATTTTCCTGAGCAAGCCAAAGGACCCAATCCTGCTGGTTCTGTTTTAGCCAATATGATTTGTTCCTCCTCCAATCCCTGGCTAGGGCTAATGCCTGCCCAAAGCAATTCCATTATGAGCCCAGACTGGGGGAACAAAGCACTGACAGTAGGAGCAACCCCCAGATATTCAAGTTCCAAGTACGTGCTTTCTCTACATTCAGTGCGTCACATCCCAAACAATGTTGGACAGTACAGAAGCAGCCTTTCCTAGCCTGGCACCCTCCAGATATTTTGGACTACAGCTCCCAGCATTCCAGACCACTGGTTATGCCAGCTGCAGCTGATGGGTATTGAAGTCAAAATACCTGCCGGGCACTGGGGTGGGAAAGACTGGGATAGAGAATGCTGCCTCTGAAAAGAGGAGCTCAGCTTGGTAAGAAGCCCTTTCTGTTTTACACAATTGCAAGAAAGAGTCAACAAGTACATTTAATGTACTCCTTTATCAGGATCAGGAAGCAACTTCACCAGGGAATGTGGATAGCTATAGGATGAAAGACATATTGGCAAACTCCCTTCATTTTACAAAGTCAACACTGGGCATGTTTTCAAAACAGAAGCAAATAGAACTGTGTATAAATAAGGCTCTTCTCTCCCAGTTGTGAAACAGTTTACAAAAAACCGCCCAGGGACTCTTAGCTGGGCCTACATATGGCCCTGACTAGTCCAAAAAAAAAAAAAAAAAAAAGCCATTTAGCCACATGCTTTCTGAAGATAGCAGGATGTCCAGCCCTGGCCTAAAGGGTCTCATCAGAACTACTGTGGGTAAAGAGACACTCTCAGCAAGGTTGTGTATACCTAGAAGGTGGAAAATGTCACAACGGAAGCAGACGCTTGTGGAGAATCACATGAAAATTGACTAACACACCCAAGGCTTTTATGAGCCCTGTGTGTTATTCTACAGGGCAACAATTTATACCCTCACAAATAATGTTTGCCAATTCTGTTTCAGAAAAGTACATCTTTGAGCCATGTTTGGGGCCTCAGCCACCCATACCAAAATAGTGTTTATACATTTTTGTTGAGCCCTGTGGAACAATAGCCACATCTTCATGCAAAGCAATTTACATCAACAGGGGTTGTCTTCGCCAGTTAATTTGCTCTGTCATCAAAACAGGAGCTAGGGTTCAAGGCTGAACATCTCTGCTGAAATTCAGCCTTTGCTTCTGTACATCTGGTTGCACCTTGTTTTGCTGAACCTAGAGATGGTACATCAGCCCTCCCCTATAATGTTGACTTCCCAGTAATGGTGTCTTCTCAGCAGAATGAACTGCATGGGGTCAAAAGAAGAAAACTGAAGGGAAAAGAACTGAACTGAAGCAGCAAATACTATGAAGAAAATCAACCATTTCTAAATAGTCCTCTTTGAAAAAGGACACTCATGTTCATCTCTTTGTCTCTGCGTATTTCACACGATGTCTAACTTTGCTGTCTTTCCTTTCCTGAGTATTTACAAGTGCCTTGCCTTCCAGATGTCTGAGGAGTAAAATTATTGGCTTGTCTCAAGTCAACAGAAGCCCACAGTCTAAATGTGCTTGAACCTTGGTGAACAGCTTACAATGCTAATGTCTTTGCCACTTTTCAGATAGGTGTATTGTGCTGAGATGGCTACTTACTTCTCTCAGAGAAGAATTACACTAAGATTCTGCTTCCTTCTCTGTGTTTGGACAACAAGCCCTGAGCAAAATCAGGCATCACAAGTTTATAATTGTCTAGAGCAACTAGTGCTTTCCTAAGATACAAGGTCATATGCCTACCCTGCACTATTAACCATGTCAACAGTAGTACTTCATTAACCCGAGAAAGGACTGGGAGGGCCAGGTGCTAGCTCTGGTCATCTCAAACTAGGACATCTGCCAGCAACTGCCAAGGCCAGGACACTGCAGACAAGCATACAAGCGGAAGGATGATTCTGCTGCTCTTTAAGTGAGGCGAGGAAGGGTAATGGATCAGGCTGCTGGTATTTATGCTTGTCTGGTCCAAGCCAGAGGCTTCCTGCCACCTGCAAACTGCAAGGGCTAACCCTGGGCATCCCTATTCCTTACTGGATGCCCAGACGCTTTCTCAGTACCTATCAAGGTGCCCTATACCTCCCATGCTTGTTTGCAGTGAGCACCTGTTCTTACTGGCAGCTGGGAGTGCTGTGGAACTGACTTCTGCTGGTGCAGAAAGCTTTGGGTTCCAAGGAGCTGGGGCTCAGTCACCCCTTTGGCTTGCACACAGCAGGTTCCTTGTCCTCTGCCATGTCTCCCATGGTGGCCAATTTGGGGCGGTACCCCAGTTGCTCAAATTGCCAAATATGCGCACAGCCTACAGCATTTGCCTACCCTCTCCCTCTTGTGTCTGCCGAGAGCGCCAAGTGCACGGAGCTGCCTGTGACTCACTGGCTAGGACCCAGCCTTGGATTCCAAGCATGCTGGCTCAAATACCAGGAGTTCTGACTGGGATATAAATATTGCCAAACTATGCAGGAAACTGGCAAGACCCAAGGAACTGCACAGGCCTGTATCTCTGCCAGTGCAGTCCCTTTTACTCACTCCACCTCTTTGCTCTCTCCCTGTTTGTGTCCCAATGTAGAAATGTCTTTGACATTTTGGATATCATAGTCCAATTTCCCCCCGCATCATCACTTGGCTGTCCTTTCTTTTTTTGCATGGCATTACTCCTTTCTTATTGTGCTGTACTTTCTAACAGAAAGCCTTGTGCTTCCCTTAGAAATTATTAAAAGCAGCAGTGATCTTTTAGATACACCACCCTGCTACTTTCTGAGAAATGTCCGAAATGCTTAACTCTCTAAGACTGGAAAGGGGATTTTAAACTTTTGGCATCAGCATCTAATGTTTCCATGTCCTTCCAGTGCACTGCTAAGGACACTGGGATCCAAATACCATGTTATTGCCAGCTTTTGATTTTTAGGAGGTTTGGAAGAGATGCTAGGAAAGTCTTCAGACTTGTTTAATTCCATTTTAAAATTCCCCCAGAACCCATCTGCACCATCTGGACTTCATCTTTGACAACAAGGAGCAATCTCATCTAAGATTCTGACCATCAAAATGTAATACAAAGGTACTTATTGATGATCAAGTTGCAGCCTGTGCTTTAAAGATGGTTAGCAATGCACGGCATAACTTATTACAGCTCACTGGGAGCGGGGGGGGGGGGGGTGTCACTTTTCTTCCCTCGCCCTAATAAAAACCTCAGATGCACTTACTAGTGCATTAGCAGAAGAGTATTCACCTTCTCCTTGCTATAATAAACTCCACTGTTGTTTGGAGGACAAGCTGATTGGCAACGGCCCTTTCAAGTCACAAATACAGTGAACCATCTGCATTCTTGGCAAGGGAGAGCAAGATGGACTTTATCCTGCCATGGTAATGCACTTGGGCAAAGCCCCTTCTGCCGCATGTAGTGGGGGGTGTCAAGGAAGCAGATGCATCCTCTCAGCTGGGCATCACAAACTGCAGTATAAACAGCCCTCCATGAGTCCCAATGCTGGCAAGAATCGGCAACGATCAGCGCAGAGGGGCATCTAACCAACCTGACTGGCTTAGTGTGGATTTCCAAGAGAGGAAAGAAATTGGAAAAGAGGTCTGGATTTTGTGGCCTGTATTCTTGTCTTCACCACCACTATCGTGTCACAATATGACATGGAAATGTCCAAGTAAGGCAAGTGCTTCAGACTGGTCACTGAGCCTTTAACTCTCCAACCAGCACAGGCACTGCAGTGGGGCAGCTGTAACTGGCACACCATGTTAACCATCAAGACACGACTATGAAGGATCTCCTGCCTCTTTCCCTGCTCCTTCTTCCCCAGTTTTGTTTCAGGATCTAAGCAGTTCCCCTATGGAGTACCCCATTCCTCCATCCTTGAATGGAAAAAAGTCTGATAGAGTGAGCAAAAACTTTTCCAAGAAAATTCTGAAGAACCTTGCTTTCTATCTGGAAAACAGATTATATCCTTGAAGAAGGAATGCAAATCTTTACCACCTGCCCACCAAATAAATGATCAACAAAATTTCCCAGATTACGAGAAAATCTACCTACCCTACTTACCTATCCTACTGTTTGTCTTCACATTTCTGATATAGCCCTTTCAATGTGGAAGTCAAAATTTCCCAGAAGGGACAATTTTATGTTAAAGTGCATTTGCTATCATCCTAAATGTCAGCTTTCAACCCTTGTACAAGTGTTCATTTTTCTGGGCTCGATGCAAACCCAGAGAAAAAGCTAAGAGTACCTTGTAAAAACTCAATATTGTCTGTATCTATTTTCAGTTTCTCAAGAGGGAGGAACACCAATAATATGCTTTAGCTTCCCCTTGTCTCTCTGCAAGCTAAACCTTACTGAGGATTCAAGCATCACTTGAGCTGGTTGAGTTTTGTTGGATCTTGGAATCCTGTGCAATATGTGCCCATTTAAAAAGAGCTGTCACATAATTGTACCATGAAGATGCAGCCAGAAGGAAGGAAGTGGACTTCTCATGCTGGCCTTTCACAAATCGCTGGATAGTAAAAACAAGCACCGGACCTCAGTACTCGTTGATCCCAAAGATGCGGACACCATGCAGCTGGGGTAGCTTGGGGATTAAGACGCTCATTAATGAGACAGTGTTGATGATGAAGTGTATCCGGTCGTATTTAGTGTAGAAGCTGGTGAGGAAATAGCTGTGAAGGAAAGAAGAGGGAAGAGCTGCATTATCTGTGCTTTCCCCACCTAGCCCTCCACAGCTAGCTCAGGCCGAGGGCAAAAACAGAAGAGCAAGAACCATGCCACTGTGTAAATGGGTTTAGCCATCCGTTCTTTTGCAGCTGGGGTGAGTGGCAGAAGAGCTGGGCTGATTGTAGGAAGAGAAACTCCAGAGAGGAGCTGATTCATGTGGCTGCTGAGAGCACGTGCTTTGCTACCAAGAGCTTCCTCCTGAAAGGGGTGAAGCAAGCAAGCAAACTGAAGTACAATGAAAAGCAGCTGCAAGATCAAGCACGCGCTCTTTCTACTCCTGCATCTAGCTGGCACAATTATCACAATAGTATACTCCTGTTCTTCCTTTTCCTGCTGAGAAAACGACAGAGGGAAGAGGAAAGGGAGTTGTTTGGAAAGTATTTCTTTAAATGATGCTGAAATAATTTAGAGTCTTGGTGGTGGCTGCTGGCTTAGCCTTAGAGCGCTCTAAGAGGCGGTTAGAGGAATTCAGGGAGGGCAAGTCATTCAATGGAGAGTTGGCCTTTTGGAATACTAGTTGCTGGGGAGTGGCAACTGGAGAGGGCGACTGCATGCTGGTGGGTTTGCTGGCTGCTGTGGGAAACAGAGATGCTGCAACAGATCCAGCATGAGTCTTCTTGTACTCGCACGCTTCATGAATTAAATTTAGCTTGTGAGTTTCTAGGTTCCTTGGACTCATCCCAGTTTCTACATAACAATCCACATGGGTTAATTAGCCCATGGGTTATCAGAGCTGCACCAGACTGGATGCAAACAGGGAGTGGGCAAGAGGTAGCCTGGGCAACCCATGGCTTGCTGTCCTGGGCCAGCTGTGGACATTTCATCTTTCCCCTGCTTTCGTATACAACTTGGCTGAAGGCTCACACAGTCCCCCTTTTTATCTCAGTGCAAACAGTAGCATTCAGTATACAATGGAGTTAGAGAATATAACTGCACTTTTCGAGGCAGACTTTACTACTCACAGGACAATCGGTGTGATTGTCAGGAATTTACGAGAAGCGGTGAATTGCACACCATAATCCATCTGCTCCCAGTGAGTGAGCAGCCGGGCTTTCCCTTGATCTGGAGTTTCGAATGGCGTTCCTTTCACCGTGTGTAAGAAAATGTACATGCTCTGGAAAAAAACACAAACATGGTTGTTTGGGGCAGCACAGGGGGGCTGCCTCTTTGCTGGAGGGCTTGCAAGCGCAGTGTAACAAACTTTAGAGAACCATCTGTCATTCATAACCCAAGAATAAACCATGGCTTCTCTCCATGGGTTGTTCATGACTAATAAGCCATGATTTGTTAATGCAGCTAGGTTCAGACAACACAACCGCCCTCATTTCAGCAATGGCCTGCAGGCAACCCTTGCATCATTGTGTTGTCTGAACCTATTCATGGTTGGTGAGGGAGCCTTTTCAAGTGCAGCACCCAACCACTCAGGGCACAGAGCTCCAGAGATCCACTAGCTCCTCTCCGTAAAGGCATTCTGATGAAGGCCATTTGATTTTCAGCAAGTTTCTATGGCATATATATTGTCTCAAGATACCTGACTCTGCTTGCATTTATATTTTTGCTCATTCTGTTGCCTTTATCTTCTGCCTGGTCTCTTAAATGTCTTATACAGACTTTTCTTTTTAAAAAATGGTTATACTTTCTGCCTTAAGTGTTTCAGTCCTTGCTTTCCTATTAAAAGAAATAAAACCAGAGGTGAAGCATTTTGAACATTCCAAAAAGCACAATACACTCTAACTTATGTTTTTCTACTATAAAATACTGCTCTAGAAAAAAAAATCCCCACAAGCTGTGGCTGATTTCCACAAAGATCAGTGCCTGAAACAGTAACGAGCTCTTCTTACATTTTCAAAAATGTGACAGGGAAAAAAGAGATTGGAAAGAAAACTGCACTGTTGGATCCTAAACATCATGGGCAGGGGAAATGCTGCCTTCCACATGTTGATCATTCCCATCAGCCCCAGCCACATGCCCAATGGTCATGGAAGTGTAGTCTACCATCTGGATGGTCACAGGTTCCTTACTCCTCAGTAGGCCTGATCTGAGAAGAAAAGCAGGAGTGCTGAAATGAGGACTAGCACAGAAGAAGCTGATTCCCAAATTGTGCTGCTAGGGGGTGCTATTGCCATTTCTACTAAGTCAGCCATGCTAAACAATTCAGACTTCAGAGGCTATGAAGCACACACAAGTGTGTAGCTGGCTGAAATCTGAGAGGCAGATCCCCCTTTTTTCCCCAGGCACACTCAAACACCTATTTTACAAAGGATGTGCAACGGTGGAACACTCTGCACAAGATTTCCTCCATGGCTCTCATGTCAAGGGTGAGCATTGTGCCGCACTTCCAGATGTGCCTGCATGACAGAGCGCACATGTGCTGGGGATACACGTGTGGCCCTTCCATGAGGCAGGAGATTTTGCAGCCCTTAAGGGCTGTGGCAGACAGAGGCATCTGACGCTTGGGGCCCAATCCACTACAAAATTATCTTAGAGAAGTTCCACTGAAATGAAAGGGAAGTATGATTGCCACACAGCTCAAGAAAGTCTGCAGAAAAGACTTCCCTGTAGATTGCACTGGAAGTTACTGGAAGAAGGCAGGGGACCTTCTTAGATTATCCACTTCTGGGGAGAGAACAAGCCAATCCTGGTTGGAAAGCCTGAAGAGGCAGTAGATTCCAGTAGTGTGCGTAAGTGGCCAAGTAAGGCACACACACACTCCCTGCAGGTGAGCCACACACACCTTCCTCCGTGGTAAATGAAACATGGCCGTGAGCCAGGCCTGCATACTTTAGACCTACCAGTCCAAACACAGCATGTGCCAGCCATGTACTGAGGCCTGCCGTGTGCCTTACCAGGCAACATTAGCTTCCTGCACAGGGGAAAGGCTTGGAGGAAGAACCAGCAAAATCTCTGAGCTGAAGCACTGCAGAGTAACTGGACCGGAGGTGCTCTGAGTCTTTTGGATGTTCTCACCAGTTCTAGTGAGTATCCATTTTGATTTCAGTTTCTCACATGCATGCAATGGGTTGATTCCAGCCCATGTCAACTTCCAATGAATAAGTGCAATTAACTTAGTCTGGTCAGACCCTCTGCACTAGGATCTCTATCACTTTACTGTAGTGTTTGTATCTACAATCAGGATGCATCAGGCCTACGCATCTTGTCTAACACACCTGCCTCTCTCCCTCTTCTCCTGTCATGTCCTTCTCTGGGATCTCTTCAGTGGCAACTGTCTAAAGATCAGGTTGGCACCTTCCTTCTTATGCCTCCATAAACAGGCTAACATTTTTATTCCAGCAGACACTTGGGAATGACCTGAGTTTGCACTGGGGTAATGTTATTGTTTTAAAACTAGGTAGTGATTTAATTTTAATATGTAGTTGATTTAATTATATTTTAATTTGGTAGTCTTTTGTTTTCTTTTGAATGTTTTAATTGTGTGAATTTTAATGTTGCGAGCTGCCCAGAGCTCTAATCTCTGGGAATAGGTGGGATATAAATATAATCATTTTAATTATATAGAAACAGGCCATAGAGTTGGGTGAGTTTACTTAATTAGGGGTATAATGCTATGCATGTTTACGCAGAAAAAAGGCTGGGACATGCTAGGAATTCAGGCCCTTTTTCTGTTTAAATGTGCACAGGATTATGCCTTAAATAACACCAGTTTCTACCACAGATTGTTCCTAGTCTGCAAAAGAGCACGCTATATCTTTCTGTGCTAATACTATTTTAGAAATCCTTCTGACAATATAGAACTGGACACTGCAATGATAAATGAAATATATCAGGGAGTAAGAAGCCAAAAGGCAATGTGGTCACTCCTAATTGTTTTACTGCTAAAATGGAAAAAAAATGCAGTTTGGGATTACCAGTCAAGAGCTGCTTTTTCCCCTGTGGTTCAATCTATCAGTGTGAGCACAGAGCATAAGCCAGCAGGCCGCTCTGCTTGCGCTGAGGTAGTGTCTAGATATTTGACCCCGCAGATCAGGGTGAACTGAGGCAGTTGGCCCCCAGAGATAGGGACCAGTTGGAATGGACCATCCGATGTGCTCCTACTGCAAAATCAGGGAGAACAGCTAAGGCTGAGTCCAAGACTGGCACACCACAGCCCCCTGCTTTTAACACTGTGCTTTTCAACGACCCCCATATAAACCCTACTTCATTAGCCTTCTATGCCCTACTCTGTTTATTATGTACTTCCTCTTCCTATCATACGTGGGAAGTTATTTTCATTATGATCATACATTTAGGAAGGGCTCCACCCACACCAAATATTATTAAATTGTATACAGCCAGATGCTGGCCCTGGGCACTTCCAGATGAAGCTTTAATGTGCAATTGCCTGGCTTTATTCATCTAATTTATGCTACATTTAGATGATGTCATCCACCTGCCACCTTCCTGGGTTTTTCCAACATGTCTCCTGTCTTCTATTCTTACTACAGAAAACAACTGTGGAATGTCTGCTGACACTAGGTACATTATGGGTCTAATGAACACTCAGAAGAACAAAGCATGTGTGTAGACCAGTTCAGATATAACTATCTTGGCTTAATAAATCATGGTTCATTAAACTGTAAGTGTTGGCACTTCAATCCTAGTCGGTTCAAACTAAGGGTTTATCATTACATTCAACCTGGGAAACTGGTTTAATCTCAATTTACTTGCCACCATGTGAAGCCTTTAATTTTGCCAGTCTGGATGTAATGGGAAACTGTAAACAGTTTCCCATTACATGACAGAAGCCAGTGCATATGGAGCGTGCACGGGGAAAGCATCCATTCTTGGCTTCGTAAAACATGGCTTCTGACAATGTGAGTTTGTATCTGAAGCAGCTTTGTGGTGCATGTGTCCATCTAATCTCTTCAAGAGAGTATGACTGAACACCAACTGCAAGAGTGGTAAAAATGGAACTGAGAAGTCTCCATTAAGGAGGAGGTGGGTGTTAAAATCAACTAAAGCCAAAAGGTTTGATAGAATGACTGCCTGCTAGACCTAACTGAGCGAGATCAAGAGATTAACAGATAGGCTAAAAGTATTTTTTGCCATCTAGGTACTGCTGCTTCAGATACTGAAGAACAGACCACTGTAAATCTGCCACCCTTGCCATTGACAACCTGGTGGATCTTTCTAGCAATCTAGCTGCGAGCTTTGGTCTCACACCTGGAACGGTGCCTGTTGACCAGTCCTGACATCAGATACTCATAGACGAGATGCAGGAAAACAGTTTCAAGTGCACCTGAACAAGAGCCATGCCAAAAAATGGCTCCAGGGAGGTGGTGTGCTTTGCAGAAAGGCAGGAGGCACCCACAGTCCTAATGGAGGTGATTGGGGAACATGCAGGAGATGGGGGGAAAGTAGAGCTCTAGGGACACGATCGGATTATGAGTTCCGGGAGACAGTGAACCTATTAAAGTACTGGTCTGTGCTTCAAGTGCATCTGAAAACGCAACAACAATGGCCCGTTCCTTCCCAATCATGCAGGAAGCACAGAGAAAGGACTGTGCTAGGGTCCCCTCCCTGTGCAAAGAACCATCTGCCTGCACTGCCAGAACCCGAGGCTGTTCAAGAGGGGATGACCAACCATATTGTGAATTAAGTTGGTTAGAGTCCAAACCACAGAGACGCTGAAGAAAGGGATACTGAGGAGGACCACGTGCAGAAGGCCGATTCCCAAGACGTAGGACAGCCAGATGCCGCGGCTGTTCATGACCCGCGTGTTGGGGTTCACTTCACTGTGAGCGGTGCCCACATTCATGTCTCCTGTTCAGCAGCCCTGAAAACAACAGAGTCACAAAGCTTTAGTAAGAATGGTGAAATAAAGAGATGCATAAATAAAGGTGTGATCTCTTTCTTACACTCAAGATTGCATCCTACCCAGGCAGACCCGCAAAAGGATTTGGAGCAGTTAGGAGTAAGCGAGGAAACCTATCAACCTGAGTTCCCCCACTTTCCTGCAGAATACATTTCTTGGGGGGGGGGGGCTGCATGTGGTTGCACAAGAGAGAGGAATGGGGGGGCCACCCTTCAGAAAGGTGGGCCACGGCTTCTGGCTCCAAGCAGTGATGCAAAAACTGTTTGCCAATCCCTCCTGTGTTCACATTTCCATGACTGGCCTGAGACCTAAACAGTAGCAGGATATTATGCAATTATCAATAACAGCCTGGAATTTGATGCTGGCCACAGAATTCAGCATGTGGTTTTCAGTGGTCCTTCTGCAACAGCACTGCCCAAAAGAAGTGAGGTGGGTGGCTACTAAGAACAGGGTCTTTTCTGTTGTGGCACCCCAGTTATGGAATAAAGTTTCCAGAAAGGCTCACCTAGCACCTATGCTATGCCCTTTCCAGCACCCCTGCAACTTCCCCTGGAATTTTAGCCTCAAATCTGTTGTATTAAATCCTTTACTGTATTTTTAATCTTTGTAATGCTTCTAGGTTTCACTTTGGTTTTCACTTTTATTTTATACAGTAAATATAATTAAACTTTTTTTTCTAACATACCTTATGCTGCATTTTATTTTTTTAACTGTTGTGATCTGCCAAAAGAGTTTTGGCTAATAGGTGGTATAAGATGTAATTAATAAAGAAATATTGAAAATTTATATTCCATTAACTAAAACTCAAATTCCTAGACCTTTGGGCAGGAAAGAGGGGCTTGGAAGAGCGTGAAATCTAGGAAGCCTAAGAGGGGAAAAATGAGATTTAGCCAGAAGAAGAAGAGGTTCAGTTGTTTTGCACACCTATTTGCCCCATCCATAACCAGCACATAGGAAAGAAACAGAGAGATAAATGTTGTAGATGTGCATGATTTATGTACATTGTAGACTCTCTCTTCTTGGTGCATTCTTTCTGTTTTTATTACTCGCTGAGCTCATGGAGCTCTGATCATTGCTCTGCTCTTGACAAGTTGCAGAGAATGAACTGCAGAAACTAAAGCAAAGTGAAGCCTGGCATAGGTACACGAAAGCCCTAAATGAACTTTTCTACATGAGACTATTCATTGCTATATCTATGCTCAGTGTTGTTACATTTCCTGCTTTCTACAGAGCAACCTCTAGGTGGCGCTCTGCTGCAGTGGGATAGCACTTATACACTGGGTGCGGGGGGGGGGGGGTAAGGGATTCCCTATGAGAAGCATTTGATTGTATGTTGGTCATCTTCCACTCATGGACACTGCGGCCCTTTGGTGGGTCCTTCACAGGAGGTCAGCATCCTCCAGGGCTTCCCCTGCATATTGCAGTCATTTTCATTGGTTGTTTAGAGCAAGAATAATGAAGGGATGCGTGTTAAAGGAGGGACAAGTGGGGATAATACAAGGGCTTAGTGCCATCGTGTGCTTGTGTAACACAACATTCAGGAAGGCAAAGAAAGCAGTGCTTGTGGAAAAGAACACATGGCGGCGATGCTCTCCCCCCCCATTCCAGCTCTGTAAAGAAAACAGATGAAGAAGCCCCTGTGAAGTACTGGGTTAAATGCTTCACTGCTGAGAAATCAAAGGAACTGTCCTCAAAAAGACCCAAAAGAGACACTGGAGGGTCCCTCCCATTGTACCTGCGCTCTTCGCAGAAATTTTCACAACAGTCCTAGCAGGGAGATGCACCTTGTTATCCCAGTCTGTTTGCAACTAAGTTGCAGCAGGCATTGCTTGTGGTGTCCTCCCACATGATGGGATTCCCAAGGCTCCCATTTTCAACACGCTTCCGCTCTCCACTGCAGATGTGTCCCAACACAAAGGCCGGGTGCAATCAGGCCTCTTGCATCATTTGACAATGTGGCCTCCAGGCTTTCACAATTTAATCTAGACTTGGGCTTGAACTGAGGTCAGACTTGCCCCAGTCAGCTCAAGGGAGAGAGCAGGAGAAAGAGCCTGCTTCTGCAGCTGCTCCGTCCTTCAAGTCCCATGTAATCTCGGATCCCAAAGGTTTGGCCTGCCTGATGACTTGCTGTCTGTGCAGCTGGGATGCAAATCAGGCACATTTTCCGTAGCTATTTATAGATCCTCTTCTGGATTTACCCAGCGAGGGTCCCTTACGGAGTGTATGGATCAGTCTGCTTAACCATTGGACCATTTGCCCATTTACATGCATTTACAGGGGATCAGCCAGGCATTATCCATGCGTCGGCAGGGTTCTCTGTATTTATCATATATTCTATATGTACTTTTTCTGCTTTGAGCTTCTGGCTGGTGTACTGAGTTTCCTTCATTCTTAAACAACTAAAAAGTAGTTCACTGATCAAACACTTTCATGGATTTTTGTCTCTGTGGTATGGATTCTTCTTGATCTAATAATTTGTATAGGGAGAAGGGGGACCTATCGTTCATTATTCTGTGGACACAGGCAGATGATACCCCAAACACATGCATTCTCAAAGGGACAAAGTTCCAAAAATGTGTTACAGCCAGCAAGAACCTCCCTTTGTTCTCTCGAGGTGAAGCCAGCCCATGAATCAGGTAATTAAAAAGGCACTGAATTTCTCCACGGGCTCAACCTACCCCTCATTCATAAACAATTTACTTGCAGAGACCCCAGTTCTAATTCTAGAACTCTACAAGTAGCGTGGTCTTTGGTTTAAAAGAGGAATGAAAACAGACAAAGAAGACCAAGCTATCAAAATTAACAACCTTTTTGAGATTTTATGACACTTGTAAACATCTACATGAGGATTTTTTTTAAACTGATGGCTACAACACAGTGGAAACACACATCCCTAAAAGGTAGAGTGTGAAGACAAGAGACAACATCTAGGCTCAGCCTTTTTAGCTTTGTGACTATGCACAGGAGCAGGGAAAATTTTAATGGCTTTCCTCCAGTCTAGGCTGAGGTTTCAAAGTTGGGGTTGCATGAAATACTAGAAAGCAACCATTTGAGTAGAGAACAAAGGTCAGAGTATTGATTCTTTCTGTGTGAAAGGGATGGAGACATCCAGAATGCATTCCTGATGGAAGCTTTAGTGCTTAGCTCTGCTATGCAGTCAACAGAGGACTTATACAAATTATGCAAGGGTTTCAATACCTTTCAAACTTGTCAGGCTTTAAGTCTGCTCACCTCCTCTGCACAGCAGTATAAACACATTAGAGTCAAACTAGATAAGGCAACACCACTTTCTTGTTTAAGCAGAGCTGGGAAGGGGAAACAAGCTTTCAAAGGGGGCAGGTGATCTAAAACCTGCAGAAATGCCTTCTTGGGCAGGATTTTTTTTCCAGTCAAGCACTGATACCAGGATTGTCTTCAACTGGGCAAACAGTACATGAGAATAGGGGCAGTGGGTGTACGATGCAGGTGTGGGGTGGACTGAGCACACTCTTTTGCTATTAAAGTCTGGCTCACTCCCCATTTATTTATTGAACCAGATTTAAGAATTGCTTAGAATTTAGAAATAATTTTTACTTTTCTAAGTGATGCACAAAAGCACATCTTCATGCAGAAGACAAGATTATCTTCCTGTGAATGTGTGTTGGAAAACTTAGAGCTTCAGTAGCAGAAGGGTTGATGCCTACATCATTTGGAGCGGCAGGGCATTCCAGAAGCAGGCCCTGTGACAAGAAAGAGCCTATTTCGAACGGTGATGGACTGAGTCCCTGAAATCTTGGGCAGCATAAGAAGAGCTTCCCAAGTGGGATGGTGTAACATGGTGTCCTACAACAGTGAGGGGTAGGAATTGATGGCCTTCATGGCCCCTTCCAACGCCACTATTCTATGATGAGCAAGCAAGCTAGTTGGATCTCTTCTATACATTGCTCCTGAGTTGTTTAGAGATGTATAAATAAATACCAACACTGTAGTAGGGGCTCTGAAAATCATCAGACTTGGTATCCTTCTGGGTAGACTGGCTGGATGGGCAGCTGGAGGCACAGCACTGCAAGTGGCCCCACTCCTACTTGGATGGCAGCTTCCAGAAGGTGCCTTCAAGATGGTGCCAGGGGAATATTGCTCTCTGTTTTGGCAGTTCCACAACAGAGTCTCACAGGGCTGAGTTTTTTTCCTCTTGCTCTTCAACATCTACATGATTTTATTTATTTATTTATTTATTTATTTTATCAATTTATATCCTGCCTTTTTCCTCAAAGGGCTCAAGGCAGCTTACATCATTCTCCTCCTCCACTTTTCCCCACAACAACAACCCTGTGAGGTAGGGTGGGCTGAGAGGCTGTGACTGGCCCAAAGTTACCCAGTTGGCTCCATGGCCGAGCGGGGACTCGAACCCGGGTCGCCTGAGTCCCAGTCCCACACTCTTAACCACTGCACCGCACTGGCTCTCAACATCTACATGAAACTCCTAGAGAAACACTGCACAGCACCCAGGGAGCTTCAGCTATTGGGCATGTGGAAATCTAACGAATGAATGAATGGTGTGGGATGAAATGTCAACAATAAGCAGATGACACCCAGCTCTACCTCTCCTTTCATCAAATGCAGGGGAGGCAGTGGCTGGGTACAGTAATGGGGTGGATGACAGCCAATAAACAGGTTCAGTCCACAGAAAATGGAGGAACTCTTCATAGGATGCTCTAAGCAAAGTACAACATGTTCCAGCAAGAGGTTACACTCCTCTTAAACAATCAGGCTGGATTTGCTCTTGGTCAGCCTGATCATTGGAGGTACAGTTGGACTTGATGGCCTGGTATACCTCTTGTCAGCTTCAGCTAATATACCATCTCTGTCCTTACCTGGACAGAGACAGCCTAGCTGCAGTCATCTATGATCCTTTAACTTATCTGGATTGTGTTATATGTGGAGTTGCCAGAAAGTGATCCAAAGACTTCAGCTTGTTCAAA